CTGATTGTTGTTCTGCTGATGTTTGCTGATATACCATGGCATTTGTGAACATGATCATCACAGTCTATCATAAACAGATTAATATAAACCTGATGATCTTGGTAACTTTTTGTGTATTTTGTGCAGCATATCTTCTGAAATCTGACTTCTTTGCACTCTTTGCAAATAAACACTTTATTTCCATTTTTAAATGCTTCTTTTTCAAATTCTCCTTGATCCCTTATACATGAGGGAGAGCTGAGAAAATACAAACAACAGAATACCAGCAGGTCCCTATATAGGGACTTAGAGAGCCTTAACTGTTCACATTGAGTATGGAGGGTATTCTAGCCTCACAAATTTTCTAAAACGACGATGACAGGATCCCCATCTGGAAGCCCTTTGCCTCTCCAAATAACTACCCACACAGAAGTTGGGAGGCCTCAGAGCCATAGCCACCTTGGTATATACTGAAGCACCACACTCCACACACACATTATGCACACTTATCTACATAAACACTAACATATAATCTCAGACCAGCATATACGTAGCTAGACATACACCTTAACAAAGCGTGTGCATTCAATGACCTTGTACTCACAGAACTGCAGTAGTACCCTAAATATGCATACTCTAATGAAAGTGCTATAACTCCCTGGGTGGTACAAATGACTTAGCTATTAACTGAAAGGGAGGTTCGAGTCCACCCAAAGGCAACTTGGAAGAAAGGCCTGGCAATCTACTTTCAAAAAATCAGCCATTGAAAACATTATGGAGCACAGTTCTACTCTGACACACATAGGGTTGCCATGAGTGGGAGATGACGTGAGGGCAACTGGTAAAAAAAAATGCAAATGATTATTCATACTTGCACATATATAGAAGCTTATATATACACATACACAAACTCATGCAAATCCAGTCCATTATACACGTATATATTAACGTATCTCTCAGATACACACATGGCACATCAACGCACTTTCATATTACACAAAATATGTATTCAATTGTAAATATCCATACTTTAACAAAAAATGCATATATACAGATAAACTTACATTTATATAATCTCAAAAATATACCTTCTTTCACATGCATTCAAATCCCGTGTCTTTGCATTTGTGTATACAGAGGAGAGAGGAAAGTTAGGGGTTAATGTTTCCATCCTTAGTCTCCAGTCTCAGAGGAAGCCTGTGTGAGGCTATAGGGCTCTGGAGCAGGAAGAGAACAAATGCTGGGGGGAAGGGAAAGGCCAGGCCGTCTTTTAAATAGTCCCTGAGCTTGGGTCTCTGCTCAAGGCTAAATCCCAGGAGCCCTTAAGAGCTACTTAAGGGCAAGGCCAGCTTGGACTGAGAGAGAATAGAGCTCACCAAAGATTGGTTCCTTGTGCCACAGGCATCTCTGCTCTTCCCTGAGAGCAACAGGAATCACAGAAGCTGTAAGAAGATGGAAGACAAGCCAATGCACTGTGCTGCATAGCTGGACTCACTGGGTGCGACTGTGAGACGGGGATAAGACTTACTGTTGCCCCTATCCCTCCAGGGAGACTCTAGGAAGGTAGGAAGCCTGCCTCTACATATAACCCTTCTACATAGAAGCTGAAATCTATACCCAGCTCTGCTCCAGTTCTCTATGCCTTAGTTTCAGGCACCCCAGAGTGAGAGAACAGAACCAAATTTCCCTGAAGCTATTGCTTAGCAAGACACCAGTCCACTTTATCCTTTCCTGGCTTGATCAAGTCAGCTGAACTGATGGACATAAATATTTCTACATAATGGGTGGAATGATAGAGGCAAACAGTGCCCATGGGTATCATTACTGGGTTTATACCTTACTGATAAAAGCTTCTCTCCATTCAGTATCAGCACTCAGTTCTTACAGCCATATTTTCTGAACCAAAATTTACGATGAGTTAGATTGCATTTGCGGGACAGAAAAATTGAATCTGAACTTCAAAGTGTAGTCACCATAACTATAATGTTTGAAAGGGATATAATTTAATTTCAGCTCTCAGCATTCACCATGCTCAGAAATGTTCTGGTCTGTTAAAAAAAGAAGAAGAACGTATTTAATAGCAGGGAAAGGGAAGAAGGAATGTTGGGCAGGAAGGAAAATTACCTTGTTCTTTTTTTCCTACCCCTTGAGGAATGCCCTGGTGGTGCAGTGGTTAAGAGCTTAGCTGCTAACCAAAAGGTCAGCAGTTCAACTCTACCAGCTGCTCCTTGGAAACCCTATGGGGTAGTTCTATTCTGTCCCATACAGTCACTATGAGTTGGAATCAACTCTACAGCAATGGGTTTGGTTTTTGGTTTAAGGAATGCATATTTCTGTCTCTCAAATCAGCATTAATCTGATAACCTGTTCTTCCTCTCAGAAAAGTTACTGAAAACCTCAAACAGTGGACAAAAACTACTGAGAATGATTTAACCCTTGGCCCACTCCATAGGACTTTTAACCTGTAAAAAAATATTTATTTGCAGTGCTCCCAGTGAAGTAGGGAGCACATGATCAAGAGGCAAATGCAGATCTGTCTCTGATTACAGTATGTAATTGTACAGGTTCCTTCATTCTGACTTTGTCACGGTAGGACAACAAGCTCTGCTTTACCCAACCAGTGTGGGAGTCCCAATCAATCAATGTCTAGCAGAGGCAGCAGAGGGTGCCACTGAGAGCCCTTTCAGTGGAGTCCTGCACTCTGACAAGAATTTATTATGTGAACAGGGGACAAATTTTGAACTATATTTTTCCTACTGTGAAATGAACATGCAGAGGTTTTGTGGGAGTTGGAAATAATAAATTTTAAAAGCCTATAGGGCTGTGTCTAGAAAAATAGTAATGCCTGACAGAATTAATCACAGATTATTACGCCGTTCGAGAAATTGTATCTTTACCAGTCACCTCCGCCAGTGATGGAATGGGCAGAGTCTAAGTATGCTTTTCCAGGTACCCCTGAGCCTCTGGGACTGTACCCCACAAATATAGGGGGGCATAGCAGAAGTGTATGTAGGGTATGGCAAGTATGGCACATGCCCTGGGCACCACCTGGGGGTGGGGGGTGGGGCAATGAGCGATTTCTATTCACCACCGCAGTTTCCATTGCCAGCTGTGAGAGCTCATTCAGCAATTTAAAACTAATTGCCACAGACACTATTTTTCATAGATATAGCACTGATACGGGGGCAAACGGCAGGTTGGGAAGAAGACTCTGGCTTATAAAGGATGTATAAAACTATTTAAGAAGACTTGGCCAGGTAGAAG